GAGAGAGAGAGAGAGAGAGGGGGAGAGAGAGGGGGAGAGAGAGAGAGGGAGAGGCATCATGTACCCTTCTTTATGACACACAAGTACGCATGCGCGCACAAACAAACAAGTCACGCACGCACACACACACACACACACACACACACACACACACACACACGCACACACAAGCACACAAGCACATACATCACACACGCACACAAGCACACGCACATACACACTCCTGTACACATGCACATGCACATACAAACACACACGTACATAATTATTAAGCAGTACTCTACGCACGGAATGGTGATTTAGACAGGCAGAACTGCACAGTTCTTGCAGGAAAATCCCAACGCTGTCGCCCTTTTAGAAAAAGAAAAAAAAGAAAAGAAGCTGAAGCCGGATCTGGTTAGCGAAGGGCGAAGCTCAGCAACTAAGTGGCGCCTTGTTATCACGAACTCCAGATCACAAGTTTTTGGACTTGACAAACCCCTTGTTGGGTTTTCTTGTTTCTGCCCCTGAAATGTCCTTACATTGCTTACAACCTACCCTTCACAAGACAATTCTGTCGATTCTCAATAACACATCAACAACACAACCATAACCACTCAATCCTTGGGAGTTATATCTCCCATCTGCTACTCTATCTCCCAGCTGAGGTACAAAAAGAGACTGAAGTGCCTGGTGCCCCTCGCTCCATCTCTCCCGGACCGTGGAGTACGACCCAACCGACCAAAGGTCTGGATACTGTTCCCGTGAAGTCACAAATGGTGCACAACACTGTCGAATCAATTACCTGCGTGCGGGAGATAGGCTGCTCATGAACCTGGTCCAGCTTTCCTGTCCTGGTTCTGACTGCGTCGTCGAGGAACACCAAAACAAGATGCAGTGATGGGAGGGGAGAGAGAGGGAGGAGGTGAAGGTGGTGTTACTTCAGAACAACTCCCACCACATGTTCACTGGGTCGTGTGTCAGCTTTCAAGGCTGGTATGCATGTGTGTGTTATGAATTTTCACCACAACATCCCCTGTTCCACCCAGTTGAGTAGATCCAAAATCACAGCAACTTTACCTCGATTGCAGACGATGAAGCATGCTTAAGATGAGCCAATCCACCAATGAAACAGTTTTGCCTATGTAGTCACTATTAGTGTGAGTGTGTTGTAGATTATGCCCTATCCAGAAAGAGCAGCACACCACCATCGAACATGACCTTTTCCGGAAAATAATTCATTTCTAGCACTCGCAACATGTTTTCAGTAACAATTATAGGCATAGCGCAACGTTCACATTCACCACTTCTGTGCAACTTACTGGCAAGTGCTCTCTCTCTCTCTCTCTCTCTCTCTCTCTCTCTCTCTCTCTCTCTCTCTCTCTCTGTTGTCAAACATGTGTTAGTGTTGTGTCCACTGAAGTGACTAAACACAATTGCTTTCCACTCTCTCTCTCTCTCTCTCTCTCTCTCTCT